CCGCCCGGTCCCCGTCCCCGCCCGCAGCGCCTTCTGGCCCCGGGCCTGCCGCCGCTGCCTTCCCAGCAGCTGTCAGCAGAGGAGCCACTTCCGGGGCAGACGCCAGGCCCCGCCTCGCCGCAGACCCGGAGTAGGGCCGCGCGCCCACGTGACTCCCCGGCCCTGGAGGAGGCGCGGTTAGCCCTGGTCACGTGGCCCAGCCGCGCTGGCGGCCCTCCGGGTGCCAGGCTAGCCGTGAACTGGTGGGCGCGCACCCGCGCCGATTCACGCTCGCTTGGGGCCCTCTGCGGACCCAGCTGGCGACGCGCGGCTCGTGCCGTCTTTCCTCCGTGTGGAAACGATTCTCTCTGCTAGTGCAAAGAGTTAGTTGAGTCCTGATTTTTAAACGATCTTGGTATGTTGTTACTTTTTACACAGGAACAATTGATGCCCCCTGGAAGGCCTGTAGATAGCTTCTCAGCACTGATGAGTTGATCTCCACCCTTCCCCTGAACTCTGCAGCTTCCTCCTGGCACCCACCTCAGACGCTGAGAGTCTTTTTTTTTTTTTTTGAGAGGGTTTTGCTATACTGCTGCGCTCGCCAGACAGAGAGAGAGAGAGACAGGGAAACAGAAAGCAAGAAATCACCGCCCAGAGGGGATGGCCACGCTGCAATCCCTTCTCCATTCTCTTCTTGGGATCTTGGGCATGCACGCACACACGCCCCCGGCGTGAGTTTAAGCCACTGGGTCGGGACTCGAACGCGGTCGACTACGTGGGAGTCCAGCGACATAGCCATTACGCTAACTGCTGGTCCCAAGACGCTGCGGGTCTTTATAAAATGTTTTTTTAAGACACAAACCCAAATGACATTTTTTAAAAAGGTTTTTGACTTAGGGTGGATGCGCTAGCCAGAGAGCCAGTGAGAATCATCCCGCAGGGAGGATGGTCACACCCCGCTGCAATCCCTTCTCCTCTATTCTCCAGGGATCTTGGACTCAAGCACACACAACCAGTGAGTTTAAAGCCACCATCCAGGACTCGAACCCCTGCCGGCCATGGGGAGCCCAGCGACTTAACCTCGAGGCCATCTGCTGGCCCCACCCAGTCCACATTTTAAAAAACCTCCAGGGAGCGCACTACTTGTGTTTGTTCTGGCATGATGCTTTCCAGCCATCCGTTTTTACTGTTCTTGAAGCAGGAGCAAAACAGCAGTACCCCAAAAGCAGTTCATAACACTCTGAACGTATCTTGGCATTTAAAAAAGATTTTCATTGGCAGAAAGCGGGTGTTTGAGAGCAGAGAGCTAGAGAAAACACCTCTTCCACTAACCACCCCCCTACCCGACCTCCCCCCCCATCCCCATCACTTAACAATACCTTTTCCTCCAGTTTTCCATCCTGTCAAAAGCTGTGCCACCTACAGGGCTGGGATTCTCATCCTGGCAGGCTGTGGGGGCTCCTGATTCAGATATGCCTAATCAGCACCAGCCCCACCCCTGGGCATATATTTTACTGTGGCTTTATTTCCCCTAACCAAACTACAATAGAAGTACAATAGAAAAGTGGAGTGCAAACATTTGCAAGCTCTCAAGTAGTGTTTACTGAGAAAGTAGTGGGTTAATTATACTTAGCTGTATTTCATTCTTGCCTCAGGGCCTCTTACTGGGAAACAGTTTGTAATATTTCATTCACACAAATCACTGGTCAGGAATTTTATGTGCATTAAAAAAAGTGTCCTTAAAAGTTCATATTGGCATTTTGCAGATGACAAAAACCAACGTTAAAATAAATGAATGTAATGTGTCCAAATTGTACAGCTCTAAGCAGCAGGATCAGAATTCATACTCGGGCCCTGGCTTATTTCCCTATAGCCAGCTATTCTGTATGTTCTTTCACTGTAATAATCTATTCACTAATTTCACTCCTGCCTTGCCTTGAGTAAAACTGAAATTTATGTAGTAGTAATAACTGATTAAAGGAGATAAATTCAGTATTAATCCATTGACACACCAACCTGTTTCAGGTTTCCATAGACTAGTTATGGCTGGGTAGTTACATAAGAAAAATATACTTAAAAAAAGGTCAAATTAAGAATCCTACATGTGGAACCAGAAGTTAGCGTAATGGCTATGTCGCTGGATTCCCATGTAGTTGACCGCGGTTCGTGTCCCAGACCTGGTGGCTTAAACTCACGCCTGGCGCGTGTACGTACATGCTCAAGATCCCAAGAGGAGAATGGAGGAGAAGGGATTGCAGTGTGGCCATACCCCCTGGGGGGGGTGATTTCTTGCTTTCTATCTCTCTGTCTCTCTCTGTCTTTCTGGCGAGTGCACGCACCCTATAGCAAAAACCTCTCCAAAAAAAAAAAAAAGAGAGAAAAAGGTAGTAAGGGGGCCAACAGGTGGCATGGTGGTGAAAGTGCTCGACACTCCCACATGGCTGACCACAGTTCAAGTCCTGGACCTAGAGGCTTACTTTCTCACTTTTCCTCTCCCTCTCTCTCTCTCTATGGGTCTCTCTCTGGTTAAATTAAAATAAACAAATAAATAAATAAAATTAAATTAATAACACTAAAAAAAGGCATCAAATAAAAAATTCTTTTTTTTTTTTGGAGAGGTTTTCGCTATAGGGTGCGTGCGCTCGCACCAGACAGAGACAGACAGAGAGGCGGAAAGCGAGAAATCATCTCCCAGGAGGAATGGCCATGCCGCAATCCCTTCTCCTCCATTCTCCTCTCAGGATCTTGGGCATGCACGCACACATGCCCAGCGTGAGTTTTAAGCCACTGGGTCCAGGATGCGAACTGCGGTCGACTATGTGGGAGTCCAGCGACATAGCCATTACGCTAACTGCTGATCCCTAAATAAAAAATTCTTTAAAGAACTATTTTTCAGGGTCCAGCAGGTGGCACGGTGTTAAGGTGCTAGACACTCCCATGTGGCTGACCATGGTTCAAGTCCCGGACCTGGTGGCTTGCTTTCTCACTTTCCCCCTCTCTCTCTGTCTCTCTCTCTGGTCAAATTAAAATAAATGAATAATAAAATTAAATAAAAAAATAAATCTTAAAAACAAAACACAACAATTTTTCAGTTTTTGAATAAAATCATCTTAAATGGAAAGAGATAAGAAAAAGCATGGTGAAATTATAGAAATTGAGTAAGCAGAGGCTGATCATAATCTCGTTACTGTAACATTACTAAGGAATGCATTATCTTGCCAATGAGCCATAAGGACACTTTAATAATAGACCACATAATTTAAAATCCTAGGAAACTTGAATAACGAGCAATAGAAGCAGCATCTCTTTGTTGTGGCTCGCATCAGAAAAGGCCATCAATAAATGATATATTCAACAGAGCAGTAGGTTTCTTCTTGGTAGATAGTCTATGCTGCTTCTTGTCCATCCAAAAAAAAAAAAAAAGTGGAGTAGGTGGGTAAAAAGGTCATTTGAATTCAATCGCAAGACTTTATTTCAAGATTCTGTTCCAGATGCCTTTCCATGGCATACGTCACATCATTGCATCTTCATACTTGAAGGGAAAAATCCTAACAAGGTCACCATATTTGGGATTGCTACTTTTAGCATATGCTTTTGTTCTTCTATAAGAAGTACTGCAATGTATTCAAAGTACAGAAATATCAATGTTATTTCCACTAAATAACCATTTAAGAGTCACCGATAAATCAAAATGTGACAGGACGCGTTGCTACTTTAGGATTGCTTTCACCAACCCAGGTGCTTGTAGATGATGTCAAATATTTGGTACAGGTGACTTGACTTAAAGTAGTCCATAAAAACAGCATTTACTCTGGGATCATAAAATTACTTCTGGATAGTCATAAAGTCTGTTTTTAACTTTTGCCATCAAAAGCTACTTTCTTGTTCCTCTGACAAGTAACATTTTTCCTGTGAAAAGAAAAGGAGAATTGAATCAAAATTATTGATACAGTTACTTTCTGGAACTCTAACAGTTTAATAAGCCCTTACTGAAATCTATGAATGGTAGGTGAGGCATCAGGACACAAAGATCCATTAGACATTTCTCTCTGCCCTTTAGATAATCACTATCAAAGTGAGCCAAAAACATCACACAAAACTTCACAAACTCTTACATGTACGAAAGACAGCTTGATCCTGTTGTAATGAGTCCACACCGACACAGTGCTCAGTGAGTCCTAGACACTGTTATAAGTGCTTTGCATTTATTATTCAGGTAATCTTTCTAACAACTTATGAAGAGCTATTATTAACCTCATTTTATGGATGAGGGACACCGGGTACAGAGCGGTTAAGTAACCTGCCAGTCGTCACATCACATACTGGTAATCTATGTTAGCCATGGGGCCAGCAGGTGCTGTGGTGGTTAAGGCACTGGACTCCCACATGGCTGACTGCGATTTGCGTCCCGGACTTGGTGACTTGCTTTCTCACCTTCTCTCTCATCTCTTTCTGGTGAGCACACATACTCAATAGAAAACTTAGCCCTGGCAGTCAGATTCTGGAACCAACTGAATGCTGTTAATTAGGGGGTAACAAAGAAAACAAAGTTTTGAGGAAATAATTGATAGCTGCATATTATAGTAATACAAAATGCTTTGGTATTATTAACTCATTTTATCTTCCACCTAACCCTGAGTAGCAGAGTTTGTATTATTCATATAATTATTTCTGTAGGGGGAAAGAGGCTGAGAGGTGAACAGACTCGCCCAAAGTCACATAAGAAAGTAGACACTGGAACCAGTTCTTCTGGCTCCAAATCCACTTATCTCCTCCACTGCATCAGGTTGAATATTTAGTGCCTTAAGTGAGATCCCTTATGCAACAGGGACTCAGAATCATAGCTCAAAGGTGGAGGCTGGGGGTGAAGAAAGGAAAGGAATAGTAAACCACGTAACTCTGCAGTAGTTTAGTGGTAACAAAACACTCTGCAATGCTGAAGCCAGATATTGATGGGTCTTGTTTGTATCGGCCTTATTTATATACCATGTTAGGAAGCATGGCCTTTAAAATGTGAAGAAAATGGAGAAATAAGCAAAGCACCTAAAGAAGGAGACCAATGTGACAAGATTTACACCAAGTGTCCTCCAAATCTGAGCTGTTTTAAATTTCAATAATCTCAGAAGTACATATGCTGTGAACTGACAAAAACCAATATTTAAAGTATAATTATTTAAAATATTAATATAAATCTTATTATTATTTTTTAGAAACTCAGAAAAATAAAATTCCAGTTTATTTTTGTACAACACTGTTTCACACATACATCAAACAGGGCAAAAAATAAATAAATAATCAGCAACTTCACAGACAAAAAAAGGAAAAAAAGAAACCTTTTATCTTTGGCCTTTTTAACCATCTCATACAAACCAACTGCTTATAGTATAACTAAGTACATACACAAAAAATGTTACTGGAATGCTCAGAATAAGATTGTTTTGTTGTTGTTTTTGCCCTTTTTACAAGATTTTTTCCTCCTGAGATTTTTTTTTTTTTTTAAGAATTATTTAACTTTATTTATTTACTGATTTATTTCTATTTGACCAGAGAGGGAAGAGCAAGAGAACGAGAGGGAGAAAGCCTAAGTGAGAAAGCAAGCCACCAGTTCCAGGACCTAACAGCAGTCAGCCATGTAAGAGTCCAGTGCCCTTACCCACCACGCCACTGTCGGCCCCCATCTCCTTTGAAATTAGAGTGAACATGGTCACACCACAAGTAAATCTGAAGTAGGACAGAAGACGCTCCAAAGGCTGGTTTGGTCATCCAAGATCATCAAAAATGGCTGACCCCTAACGATATGTACAAAAATATAAAATGTAAATACAAACAAATTTCCCTTTTTAAAGTACTTTTAAGAAAAAAAGCAGGGCCTTGAAAGTTTTGGTTCTTTTTTCCTCCTCTGTTGCAAATTTGCACTGTGGTTTTGGTTGGGTGGTGGAAAGCACATGTAATATAAATCTTATTAAATTTCAACATAGCCACCATCTTAGACTTCAACTGATTTTTAACCTTTGTAAAAACTTTTCATTGCTGCCTAGCGTCTGAAAGGCCTGCATTTGTAATCTTAACTTTAAAATAATCTGAATCATGAGGTTCTGATGAGTGCACAGCTGTGATTTGACCTCTCCATCCCAAAAAGACTGAGAGAGATCAGGTCACCAAGGTGGCCAAGCGTGACAACATTCTCTACCAATCACTGGCTGAAGTGTCACCCAGAAACTGGGGCCACAAAACAATTATAGTAAAAAACAAGTATTAGATCTGATAAAACTGAATTAAGTACAAATAAAATGAAACTAATCTTTCAAATAACATTTCTCTAAGTTTGTAGCACTTATTCTTCCCAAATTATTAAAGTTTAAAAGTACATTAACACTTTGGGGCACTCTGTATACAATATACACTTGAAATGAACATTATTTCCATAGTCGATATCAGAATGTCAAGTACAACTCTCACTCCACTTACACGGAGAGTGCATACCAGTTTTCACACCTCTGTTCACCTTGATCCTACTGCCTGCCTATATCTTAATGACAGTTCTTCCACCTTGAAATTTTCACTATACCAATCCATAGTGATTTTCTTTCTCTAAACTCTTATTTAACAAGTACTTCCTGATTTTTTTTTTTGTATATACTAATCTTCTTTCCTGAACTTAGGAAAGGGCTTTCATTTTGATATTCACATGTCTATCTACCACCACCAAGTACCTTGCAGGACAACTCAGTAAATGCCTACTGGCTGAGGAAAACTCTTTTCTTTTCTTTCCTTTTTTTTTTGGTAGAGGTTTTTGCCTTAGGGTATGTGTGCTTGCCAGATAGAGAGAGAAAGAGATCTGAAAAATCACCCCTCAGGGGGAATCTCCAAGCCATAATCCATTCTCCTCCTGGGATCCTGGGCATGCACACACATGAGCCCAGCATGAGTTTCAAAGCACCAGGTCCAGGAGTTGAACCATGGTCAGCCATGTAGGAGTCCAGCGACGTAACCTCTATGCCATTTGCTAGTCCTGGAAACTATTTTGTAAAGACTTCCATGGAATAGACATAAGGTAATGGAAATAAATAGTTTATTTCACAATAATAATATCCTATGCCATGGATGGCACTGTCAGGAAAAAACACACAATAAATAAATAGAGGGGGAACCAGCAGATGGTGTAATGGTAACATTGTTGGACTCCCATGTAGTTGACTGCAGTTCAAGTCCTGGACCCAATGGCTTAAAACTCATGCTGGGCTCATGTGTATGCACACAAAAATCTCCAGAAGAGACTGGAGGAGAAGGGATTGTGGTGTGGCCATCCCCACGGAGTGATTTCTCACTTTCTGTCTGTCTCTCCAGTGAGCACATATGCCCTATAGCAAAAATCTCTCAAAAAAAAGGAAAGAAAAAAAGAGGCCAACAGAGGGTGTAATGGTTATGTTGTTGGACTCCCATGTAGTTGACTGCAGTTCAAATCCTGGATCCTGTAGCTTAAAACTCAAGTTGGGCACTTGTGTATGCATGCCCAAAATTCCATGAGGAGAATGGAGTAAGAAAGAGATTGTGGCAAGGTCATCCTATCAGGGGGTGATTTCTCACCTTCACTCTCTCTTTGTCTCTCCAACAGGCACATGTGCCCTATAGCAAAAATCTCTCAAAAAAGAAAAAAAGAAATAGAATTTAGCAATTCTTTTTTTAAGATGTTTTTTATTTTTTTTTAATTGCCAAAGGGCATGTGCACTCACCAGAGACAAAAAAAAGAGTGAACACACACCCCAATGGTGTGTGGTCATAACATAATCCCTTTTTCTCCATTTTTCTATCCCATCAGTATTTTGGGCACACATGTACATATGCCTGGTGTATTTTTCAAGCCACTGGGGCTAGGACTCAAACTTCTTGCTGTAGGCCATGTGGGATCTGGCTCCCAATATATAGTGTTTAACTGCTGCTCTATAAGACTGGTCTATGCTAGTTTTTATTTTTAAATAGGCTTTGAGTTCCTCTTTGCACATTACAAAGTGAACATTTACTTTGAAGCATTTTTAAAAGTTTATTTATATCATTTATGAGAATGAGACAGAGAAAAAGAAAGAAAGAAAAAAATAGACAGACAGACAGACAAACTCTGTTAAAAGGGTTTCAGGCTGCAATCCCACTAGCCTTCTCAGCTAGCCAGGATCAGGAAAATGTGCACGTCAACTAGGGAACAGAACCCACAATTTTCCATGTGGTCCTAACAACACTTGTGTACTATGTTACCACCCTGGTCCCAATCTAAGTAATGCTATTAGAGCACATATTAACCTGGTATTGGTAGAATATAAAAAGTGCTGTTTTCTTTAAATAGTGGAAAGAATTACACTGTTCAAGAGTATTTTGGCCTACCTGCCCCTATAAAAACATGTAGCTTCCCTGAATTAGTGGGCAACATAAGGTGGCCCTTATGTACACTAAAAAGAAAGTCTATGCTTTAAAATCCTCATAAACCTCAGATAAAGTACACCACAGTTAGCCAAGTAATACTTCTTAGAAGTATTACGATGTGCTTCAGCATAAGTTCAAGATTATACTGGGACCAGCAGATGGAATAATGCTTGTGTTGCTGGACTCAATGCTTGAAACTTCGAGTCCTGGACCCAGTGGCTTAAAACTCTCACCAGGCATGTGTGCCCAAGATACCAAGAGAATGGAAGAGAAGGGATTGTGGTGTGCCCATGACCCCTGGAGGGGGGGTGATTTCTCACTTTGTTTCTCTCTCTACGGTAAGCACACATGCCCTATAGCGAAAATCTCTTAAAAAAAAAAAAAAAGATTATACTGACATCCTGCCCAAAATGTGGAGCTTCAAGGAAGATTTAAACAATATGAGTCAATGGTCCTAACTACTGGTCTCCATAGCACTTCCTAAAGCAAGCTGTGTAGGGATTAGGGTAGTGCAATGCTAATTTATACTTAACTGAAACCACGTTTTCTTTTTTTTTTTTTGGAGAGGTTTTTGCTACAGTGCTCGTGCACGTGCCAGAAAGACAGAGAGAGAGACAGAGACAGAAAGCAAGAAATCACCCCTCGGGGGGATGGCCATGCTGTAATCCCTTCTCCTCCATTCTCCTCTCAGGATATTGGGCACACATGCACACATGCCCGGCTTGAGTTTAAGCCACCGGTTCTGGGACTTGAACCGCGGTCGACTACATGGGAGTCCTGCAACATAGCCATTACACCAACTGCTGGTCCCTGAAACCACATTTTCAAAAATGGACAAAACCGTATCATTAATATACAAACACAGAAATATTCCAAGATTAAGTCCTCTAAGTCCCCAAATTACGGGCAACCGAAAATGTATTGTGTTTATCCTTCTATAACAGACTGTAGGACTGGGAATTCTACTTTTAAAATTTACCCCATGAAAAGATAAAACCAACCATGACTATATGAGAGAATCAAACAGCAACTTTTCTTACCATATACTTACCGTTTAGCTTTAGCTTTTTCTAAGAAATATTTTGGAGTTGTACTAATGCTCTCTCTTTCCAATGGTTTCTTAATCATCCTTTTCTTTTCTTTGCTGAAAGTTACAAAGAGGAAACAAATTAAGTGCAACTTCATTTAGAAGAGTTAAAGCTAAAATTAGTTTTGATTCCTGATCACAAAATTCAATTCATATTTAAAGCATTTCCTAGTTTAAAGTGGGGCTGTATCCACTTTAATAAACTAGATTACTTAATAGCATTTACAACCCAAAGCGATGATAAATTCAAGTTTTTTTTTTAAAAAGAGAGGTTTTTACTATATGGTGCTTGCGCTCGCCGGAAAAGCAGAGAGAGACAGAGACAGAAAGCGAGAAATCACCCCCCCAGGGGGGATAGCCACGCTGCAATCCCTTCTCCTCCATTCTCCTCTCGTGATTTTGGGCATGCACACACACAGACCCAGCCTAAGTTTAAGCTGGCAGGCCTGGGGCTTGAACTATGGTTGACTACATGGGAATCCAGAAACATAACCATTATGACATCTGTTGATCTGTCAATCGACTTTTTTAAAAAGCACTGATAATGATTAAAATATGTCCTTTGTTGAGACTAGCCTGTGGCCTGGATCCCAGATGACCAACACCACAATTCAAATCCTGAACACTGCAGCTTGAAAAACACACCTGGGCAGTGTGCATGTGTGTCCAAAATTGTGAAAGGAGGGAAGAAACAGAGAAGGACAGCAGCATGGCTATGTTCCACGGGAAGTGCTTTCTTATCTCCCCCAACCCCATCTCTCTGTCTCTCTCCAGCAAGTACATGCACCTTCAGGCAAAAATTAAACAAAAACAAACAACTATGTCCTGTGTTAACCTTTTATTTTATGTCAGCAAACCTTAAGAGTTTGATTTTGATTAACTACTTTTTACAGTTTTATTAATTAAAACAATCCTAAACATATTTCCCTCACACTGAATACATTTTTAAAATATTAATACTTAAAATGTCAAGAATGGGGCCACCCTGTGGTGTAGTGGTTAAGAGAGCTAGATCCCATATGACTGACTGCATGGGTCAAATCCTGGACCCAGCAGCATGGAAAATGTGCTGGGTGTCTGTGGGCCCAAAATCTCAAGAGAAGGGATTACAGGATGACCATTCCCTATGGAGGGTACTTACTTACTTTCCTTCTCTCTGTCTTCCTCCAGTAAGCAAGCATACCCTCGGGCAAAATTTTTTCTAAAAATTTCAAGGATGAGGCCAGCAGGTGACTTGGTGGTTAAGGGTGCTAAACTCCCACATGGCTGACCATGGGTCAAGTCCTAGACCTGGCAGCTTGCTTTCTCCCTTTCCCTCTCTCTCTCTCTTTTCACACTCTGCCCCTCTCTGGTCAAATTTAAATAAATAAATAAACAAAATATAAAATAAAATTAAAAAAAATTTTTTTTGGGGGGGAAGAGGCCTTTTTTTTTGGCTATAGGGCGTGTGCGCTCGCCAGAAAGACAGAGAAACAGAAAGCAAGAAATCCCCTCCCCTAGAGGGGATAGCCACACCACAATTCCTTCTCCTCCATTCTCCTCTCGGGATCTTGGACACGCACACACACGCACCCAGAGTGAGTTTAAGCCACTGGGTCCAGGACACAAACCGCAGTCAACTACATGGGAGTCCAGCGACATAGACATTACACCAACTGCTGGTATAACTTTAGAAATTATAAAGTAATTCTTAAAAAAAAATGTCAAGGATAAAAAAACTGGCAAGGAAATAACATAGTATTCACAAATATTTAAAAGCAAAATTGTTAGGGCTGGCCCTGGAGCCTAGTGATTAAATGAGCTGGGCCTCACATGGCCAATCATGGTTAGAATCCCTGCCTCAGTGGTTTGAAAAAGACACCAGGTGCATGTGTGCGTATGCCCCCAATCCTGACAGGATGAAGAACTGGAGGAGGAGAGATTGCGGCATGACCTCGCCCCACTAGGGGAGGAGGTGCTTTCTCCTTTTTTCTCTCTTTCTTTTTGGTGAGTGCATGTGCCCCTCTGAAAGTAGCATTATTATTATTATTATTATTTTGGAGAGGTTTTTGCTATAGGGTGTGTGTGCTTGCCAGACAGAGAGAGAGAGACAGAGAGACAGACAGCGAGAAATCATCCCCCAGGGGGGATGGCCATGCCACAGTCCTCTCTCCTCCACCCTCCTCTCGGGATCTTGGGTGCACACGCACACGCGCCCAGCGTTAAGTTTAAGCCACCAGGTCTGAGACTTGAACCGCGGTAGGCTACATAGGAGTCCAGTGACATAGCCATTACGCTAAACGCTGGTCCCAAAGCAGCAATATTATTATATCTATAGTAAGTAAGAAAGAGTATAAAATCAAGAATGTATAAAAGCAGATCTTGAAGACTTATTTGTATGCCTGTGTTCATATTAGCATTATTCACAATAGCTAAAACCTGGGAGGAACCCAAGTGTTCATCAACAGACGAATGGGTAAGACGTAGTAGATACACACAACTATTATTCAGCTTTATAAAGGAAGGAAATTCTTACACATGCTACAACATGAATGAAGACATTATACTAAATGAAAATAAGTCACTACAAAAAACGAATACTGTATGATGCCACTTACATGAGGTAGAATAGTGACAATCACACAGAATGTAGAATGGTCTTTACTAGGGGTTTAGTGAGGGAGGAATGGGGAGCTATTGTTTAATGTGTACAGAGTTGAAATTTTTTTTTAGGTTTTTGTCATAGGGCACATGCACTTGCCAGAGAAAGAAGGTAAAAAGTCACCCTAAGGACCAGCACTTGGCATAATGTCTATGTTCCTGGACTCCCATGTAGTGGACTGCGGTTCGAGTCCCGGATCCGGTGGCTTAAACTCATGCTGGGTGTGTGTACATGCATGTCCAAGATCCTGAGAAGAGAGTGGAGAAGGGACTGCAGTGTGGCCACCCCCCTGGGGGTGATTTCTCGCTTTCTGTCTCTCTCTGTCTTTCTGGCAAGTGCATGTGCCCTATAGCAAAAAGCACTCAAAAAGTCAATGTCCCCTATAACAAAAAGCACCCAAAAAAAAAAAAAAAAAAAAGTTACCCTCCAGAGGGATGACCACACCACAATCCCTTCTCTTCCATTCTCCTTTTGGGATTTTGGGCATGCAATTCACGTGTGCCAAGCGTTGAGTTTCAAACTGCCAGATCTGAGACTCAAACTATGGTTAGCCATATGGGAGTTCAGCCTAACTACCATGCCACCTGCTGGCCCCTATAGGGTTGCAGTTTTACAAGAGGAAAAGAGTTCTGGAGATGGATGGTGGTAGTGACTATACAACATTATGGAAAATAAACATTGAACTATACACTTAAAAATGGTTGAAATGGTAAATTTTTTACGAATTTTACCACAATACAAAAATTAATAAAAAACAAAAAGAAACTGAATGTCAACCAAGAATGGCACGTGAGAGAAGAACACATCCTGACTGGTATAATTTATAGATCAAAAACATGCAAAACTAAACAATGCACAGTTCAAGGACACATACTCATATTATAAGTAAAAGGCAAGAAAGCTAACAACAAAACAAAAGTAGGAATGTATATACAATGAGACAGAGAGAGAGAAACTACAGGTAAATTCAAGATTGTACCTTAGTAATTTTTGGAAGCCTTTGATATATTCTGGTACGGGACAACCGGCCTGCTGTATAACATTGGCAACACTGAAAAAAGGACCCCATAAACATAAACTTATACCTTATCGAACTAATATATCCATAAACCTGCACAACGTAAGAGGAACTAAAACACAAAGTAGACCAATTAAGTATTGATGTGCTATTACCAATTATCATTACATATAAGCATGTCTGACGACTCAGAGAGCTATTGACTGGACTGAAATCAATGCACTATGATGAATAACTTGAGATAGCTATGTCCACATTTATCAAGCCCTAAAAAAAGCTACTGGGCTCTGGACTGTTTTATTGAAGGAAACACTGACTAAAGTCAGAGAGAAAGTTACATTTATTAAGTGATAGTACTTACTCTGGGGTTAGCATTACTGGACGTTTTGCAGGTGTAGTTAACTTATGCACACCTCACAAGAGCCCTACAAGGTAAATACTATCATTATCTCCATTTTACGAGGAAAAACTGAGGTGCATGCTTACACTGCTATTTGGGTCATCAGATTCACATGCTTGGAGGTGCTGAGGAGACCTCAGGTGGATCTAGGCTGATGTGAAAGCCTCCTCAAAGTGGTAACAAAGGCTGACAGACCCAAAGCTTAGCAGGTACAAATCGAAATCTTTATCAATGCTGACAGTCGGATCAAAGTATAAACTCCCTTGAGTCAAACTAAATTTCCTTTGTTAGAAGTGCAACGTGCTGTTAACGACCGTCAATCAAAAATTACGATAGGCAGCAAAATGCAGGAGACTCAGCTTCTACATGAAAATCTATGATGGGCTAAATTATGCCTGGAGATTCTAAAAGTATATCGTATCTTAGCCAAGCTTCAAAGACTACAATTGAATAATATCAGAATGTGTTACTCAATTTTTTTCCCAATATGGCAGTTGATCAAATATAAAACTCCACTTGCTCCTAAGAACAAGGAAAAGGATGCACTGTGGTAAGAGAGAATGCTGACTAGCTCTGGAGTAAGAAACTTTACACTGTTCAGTAATTGAAAGGGAAAAAAACTGTTCACTAATTCAAGAATATTCACATTACATTGCAGGTAACCTCAACTGATGGCTATTAAGAGAGTTCTGTAAGTCTAAAATTTAAAATGAATAGTCTGTTTTGAATATTTCCAAATAATGGAAAGGTGAAAATGAGGTCTTCTGGTCATTCTTCCTTTTCTCACCACTAAAATTTGGCTAATACCATCAACAAACTTTGGAACACAGCTATTTTATAATTATCTGTTCATTTAACATTCACATAAGAATAATAAAGCAATTTTGCCAACTTAATACTAAGTTATTTTTCTTTATTTACCTTCTTAATAATGGTTTATCATCTTCGGTGAAAAATGTAACAGCTTTCCCCTTATGTCCTGCTCTTCCAGTTCGACCTAAAATAAATCACACCATAAAACACCTCTTTTTATGGAAGAGAGACTCTGTAGATTCACATATAAAAGTCATTAGATTTTCACAGGCCTAAAAAATGAGCATGTCTGACAGGAATAGAAGTGCTAAGAGAGATGAATTAGGTGAAGAGAGGAAGAAAAAAATGACAGCTTACCTATCCTGTGGATATATTCCACTGAGCTGGTTGGAAAGTCATAGTTGATCACCAAGTTCACACCTTTAAAATCGATCCCTCTTGCTAGCAAGGCTGTACAAATAAGGACCCAGATTTTTCCTGCTCTGAAGCTGTGGACTGTGTTATCCCTCTGGGTAAGAGAACATATATTAAATGCCTTTTAGTATGACTCTAGGAATGAAAAAGAGGCACTTCATAAATGTAATGTCAATATTGTACTTTTTTTTTTTTTTTTTTTGGAGAGGTTTTTGCTATAGGGTGTGTGTGCTCACCAAAAAGACAAAGAGAGACAGAAAATGAGAAATCACACCCCCCCCAACAGGGGGGATGGCCACACTGCAATCCCTTATCTTCCATTCTCCTCTTAGGATCTTGGGCACGCACACATGCCCAGCCTGACAGCCTGAGTTTAAGCCACTGGTCTGGGACTCAAACCGTGGTCGACTGCATGGGAGTTCTGCGACATAGCCATCACGCCAACTGCTGGTCCCCAATATTGTAAAATTAAGTAGTTTTTTATAGTTTGAAAGTACACATTTGACTTTACCTGTTGCTGTGTTCTCTCTGCATGAATAACATCCACATTAATACCTTCATATATGAGTTCATGAAAAAGCTCTTTAGCTCTCTCAATGGACTGAACAAAGACAAGCACAGGAGGATCGAAACCCTAAACAAAGAAAGACAAAAATCAGCACACATAGGCCATAACCAAGAAGACAATTGCTCAGTATTTCTTAATGTGATTTTAGTTTAGTTCATGAAAGAATCCAATTAAATTTAGTATTTTCACTGCCAAATTTCTCAAGCCAGTGGTCTAAATCTGCCTCCATCTTCCTCACCAACCATTCTCTACATGGGATTCTTTCCATTCACCTTGAACTGTATTCTCCTTCATGTTAATTCCAATGACCTTGTCTAATGAATGCCCCTTCATCTTCCTACAATAATGGATGCCCTCTCTTTGAAACAATCATCTTTTGGCTTCTGTGCCTCAGAACTTTGATTCTACTTAAAATGTAGTAACTGCTTTAAAATCCATTATTTATCTTAATCATATTTCTCCAAAGCATAGTACTTAGTTCTTACTTTTATCCATATAATTTTTATCTTATTGTGTTAAATAAATCTCAGTGTCAACTACTAATTCTAAGCAAATTGCTTTTATAATTTATATCATGAAGTGTTGCCTCTCTCTCAAACCAGCTTTCTTTTTCTTTTTTCAAGTTGCCAGAAGGAATGTGCACTTGCCATAAACTGACAGAGAGACAGAGAGAGGGAGTGGGAGAAAGCACTCCTTAATGGGGTGTGATCACACTGCAGTCTCTTCTCAATTTCTATCAGGATTTAGGGCACACATACACACATACTGGGTGTGTTTCTCTGCCATTGGGATATATGGGGCCTGACTTCCTGTAACCAAACAGAATGACTTTTTATCTATCATCTGTCTGTCTATCTATCTATCTTTAGATTTTTGCCATAGGATATATATGCTTACTAGAGAGAGAAAGAACTAAGAAATTATCCCCCAGAGGGGATGGCCACACCACAGTCCCTTCTTCTCCATTCTGCTCCTCGGATTTTGGGCACATGCACACATGCACCAACATAGTTTTCAACCAAGTGGGAATCCAGCACCCTAACCACCACTCCATCTGCAGGCCCCAGAAAGACTTTTTTAAGAAAAGGATTCATTTGTAGGATCAGCAGATGGTGTAATTGTTGTATCGCTGGACTCCCACACAGTCAACGTGGTTCAAGTTGGACCTGGTGGCTTAAAACTCACGCCGGGCACATCTGTGTGTAAGACCAAGGTCCCAAGAACAGAATGAAAGAGAAGGGACTGTGGTGCCACCCCTCCCCCCAGTAGTTGATTTCTCGCTTTCTGTCTCTGTCTTTTCGGCAAGTGCAGAAAAAAATTAAAAAAAAAAAAAAAAAAGTCCTTTGCTTATTTCTTCAGAGAGAAATAGAGAGAGCAAGACACATGCATATACACGGGTGCTGCCAATAGTGTCCTGTCACACTACGATGCCCTCTCCTCAGGATCTTAGGTGTGTACACACATCTGGCATTCAAATTAGCTGTCTATATTTTCAATTGTTCATAGATGGGTTTCTTGGCCTTTTTATTTTGGTTTATACACCCTTTTGGGAATCTAATAAAAACTATAAAGTTTTCTTTATTGGGATCAGCAACTGGCATAATAGTTATGTTGCTGGACTCCCATGTAGTTGACTGTGGTTGGAGTCCTGGACCTGGTGGCTTAAACTCACGCTGGGTGAGAATGCGTGCCTGCCCAAGATCCCAAGAGGAGAATGAAGGAAAAGGGATTGCGGCGTGGCCATCCCCCCTGGGGGGGGTGATTTCTTGCTGTCTGTCTCTGTCTCTGTCTTTCTGGTGAGCACGTGCACCCTATAGCAAAAATCTCTCCCCCACCAAAAAGAGTTTTATCTTTTCTTTTCTTTTTTTTTTGCCTTATGGTGTATGTGCTGGGGGGTGTGGAGAAAGACAGAGACAGTGAGAGGGAAAGTGAGAAATCACCCCTCAGGAAGACGGCCATGCCACAATACCTTCTCTTCCATTCTCCTCCCATGATCTCAGGCATGCCCACATACACACCCCATGTGATTTTTCAAGCTACAAGGTCTAGGACTCCAGCTGTAGGTGGTCACGTGGGAGTCCAGTGACATAACTGTTATAACATCTGCTGGCCCTGCTATGAAGCTTTCTAACAGGCAAAACTCATTCACACAAAATCTTACCTATAATTTTAGATCTCCCAAAGCTCATTCATGGCTAAAAATGTCTGGAATATATTCTCCATGTGAATATTTGTGAAAATCTTAAATTTCTTGGTGCCAAATAATACTCTTACAGATATTAAAACATATGTAGCATTTACAGTGTGGCAGACATTACTTTTAAGTATTACTAGGGGATTTCAAAAAGTTCGTGGAAAAAATTGGAATTATGGTATGAGTTTATTTTGGGCGAAGGAAAAATAAAAATTCATGCATAATGTTTCATAATAAATATTTTCCATGAACTTTTCAAAGATTCCTTCTATGTCTAAACTAATTTATTAATATTAAAACAGCTTTATAAGGTAGATACTATTATCTCATTTTACAAGTGCGGAAACTGGAACAGAGTTTCGGTTGTCCAAAGCTAGAATGGTGGAGCCAGAATGTCAATCCAGGTAGCCTAGCTCCAGAGTCCACACTCTTAACCATGAAACCATGCCACTTCTGTAGTCACCAAGTACTTGTAAATGCTTTTCTTTTCATCCTCCAAAAATTTTTACTGCTCTACCACTAAGGTGGTCACCCTCATTTATTTCCTCTTCATCTCTGCCCAGAGTAATTTAAAAGCCTGATAATTGGTTGCCATTCTTTCAACTTTTTTTCCCATTACAATCCATCTTACATGCTATTGTTTAACTAATTTTCCTTAAAAATGATGTGGCCATTTTCTTAAAAAACATCCAGTAGCCTTGGGCCAGCCTGTTGTGTAGTGGTTAAGATGACTGGATCCCACATGGCCAACTGGTTTGAGTCCCAGACTCAATCAGTGTATTAAGAAATACACTTGAGGGTGTGTACATGTGTGCCCAAAATCGTAAAAGGAGGGAGAGATGGAGAGAATGAACTGCTGTGTGACTGTGCCCCATGGGGAGTGCTTTCTCACTCTCTCTCCACCTGAGTACATGCACCCTCTAGCAAAAAAAACAAAAGTCCAGTAGTCTGTCTCAACCTGACCCCAGCTTTTCTATCCAACTTGATCTTTAATTCCTCACCATAAACTCATTGCCTTAAAACAGGTAACCTCCATTAGTCTCTAGACATGTGGTGTTCACCTCCATCTCTTAAGGCCTTACTCAAGTTTAATACTCCTCCTCCTACCTTTAAGGCTCAGATTAGTAACAATTCCTCTACAAGGTATTCCTCAACCAACTCAGCTCACCATGACTGGCCCCTTCCATGGCACTTTTTCACAAACCATCTTACACAAAATGGTAAGACTATGCAGCAGAGGCAAGGCTTAGGATTTGTGTCTTTCACTGTCCTCTGTCCTAATCCTCTAGTACTTAACCTTCACCTATGACTTCTACTCAGTGATACTGAAGGGATTAAAAGAAAACTCTACTTAGTGTCCCACTTATTCTACAACATACCCATTCTTTTGTAAGAAACCATCAGAGGGATGAGAAAATGAAGGGAACAAATACATATGCAGATGTGGTAAACAGAGGCTTTCAGAGCAATAGATTCTTTTTTTTCCTGGTCTACTCTGAGCTGGAAAGAAAAGACAACTATATTCTGAGAGGGGAGCCTCAATCCCTCGGGATAAGAGTTTTGAACAATTTACCACTGGGTTACTAAATGTGATACCAGATGAAGATGATATAGTGCTGAACCTCCCACCAGAAATATAAAGCTTGATTCACCTTACCAAAATTTAAAAATGTAGTCAAAACATACCTTTTTAACAAGTTGTCTCATGGCTAGAAGTTTTCCAGTCTCAGACCCAACAAAGAGAAGTTCTTGTTCTACAGTTTCTACTGCAGAATTCCTGGGAAGAAAATATACCTTGTAGTTTATAAGAGCCCATTATTGCTTTTTCCTCCTAAACTCTAAATAAAGAATAACACTTATACCAAACTCCAATAAAATCAACTTTCCCACTGTCCATGTATGTACTTAATTTATATATTAATTTATAAACAAAGTTATGTTTAAATGATTTGTTCTGATTAAAATGGTATCTCAGAAATTTTATTTAGATTTTTTTTTTTTAAGATTTTGTCATAGTGCACGTGTGCTTGCTGGAGAGCGAAAAACAGAGACAGAAAGTGAGAATTCCTCCCCTGGGGGATGGTCATATGACAATCCCTTCTCCTCCATTCTCTCTGGATCTTGGATGGGCACACACACACATTTATTATTATTATTTATT